TAGTAAGTTTGTCTATAGGTGTTAATGCTAGAGAAAGTTGTATATGGGTGTTGACGCTGCAGTAAGTAAATACATATGCCTACAATACAAAGCATATTTTAAAACTAAATCGTTACAAGTATAAATTGTTTAATGCGTTTTTAAGTTTCGTGTCAAACAAATTGGGCCACTCTGATAGTCCCATAGGCAGAGGCCAGCCCGATGTACCGGTTGGAAACAGTAAGGTGCAATGTGATTGTTATTTTTTGGCATGTCGTATCGATTGACAAGTTGTACAGGTGCTGTTACCTGTATGTGTCGAATGTTTATCTTTCAACTTCTAAATTACTTGTATGCCATTATCATCATAAGACTTGACACCAGATTCTCCTTTTAATCTTTTGGAATAACGTTACAACGTCAAAGGTGGTCGATACATGATATCTAAGGTCAGTTACAGTGACAGTTTAATACGAGTCTGTGAAATTAAACAGTGTTTTTATCCTGTTAAACCATACATCTCCCCAATTGTAGAGAGTACACTATAGTTTACACAGTGGAATGTGCATGCACACGTGTTGGCCACGTGCAATAACATGCACGTCCGAGAATCCTTGATTAAATGCCCGCTAGGGGCGAAACGCCACCAATTAACTACCGTACTACAACATGCTATATAATATCACAAGGGATGCATGTTTCTATTTTGAGCACAAATGGGTTTGTTCCCTACTGCATCGTCTTAACTAGTCATTCTACCAAACAGTTGTCATACAACAATGTAAATAATTTATTAATGATATTTTATACATAAATTCTTTATAACGAACTGTATTTATATCCCATTAGAGACATTTCATCTTACGGTCGATTGAGAGTTATATTGCCTTGCTATTATGCCCACATTTGCTTTCACACTAGTAAATGATTTTGTGCTATGTTAGACGTGCTACTCTTAAGTACTATTAACGTGTTACATTTGCTACCAGTGTTTATCATATGATTGGTAATTTGCTACCAGTGTTTATCATATGCGTGGTAATTTGCTACCAGTGTTTATCATATGCGTGGTAATTAGCTACCAGTGTTTATCATATGATTGGTAATTTGCTACCAGTGTTTATCATATGATTGGTAATTTGCTACCAGTGTTTATCATATGATTGGTAATTTGTTACCAGTGTTTATCATATGCGTGGTAATTTGCTACCAGTGTTTATCATATGATTGGTAATTTGCTACCAGTGTTTATCATATGATTGGTAATTTGATATCAGTGTTTATCATATGCGTGGTAATTTGTTACCAGTGTTTATCATATGATTGGTAATTTGCTTCCAGTGTTTATCATATGATTGGTAATTTGCTACCACTGTTTATCATACGATTGGTAACTGCTACCAGTGTTTATCATATGATTGGTAATTTGATACCATCAGTTACTATCACACCAGGCTTTATGACATATAACATACACACGTTGCTAGGTACCCATTACGTTTGCAGCCTTAAGCTGTTATATAATGCTAAGTTTGCTTTTATTGGTTTTTCTACTCGTGTTACTGTGCTATTATTTGCCATGATGTACAAGTTTAACTGGTAACAACGATCTGCTATATACATATTAACATTACTACCATACGCTATACTCGTTATATGTCAAGAATGACTAACGGATGCTGATTGACAGTTATATGTCCGGAATGACTAACGGATGCTGATTGACCGTTATATGTCCAGAATGACTAACGAATGCTGATTGACCGTTATATGTCCAGAATGACTAACGGATGTTGATTGACAATTATATGTCCAGAATGACTAACGGATGCTGATTGACAGTTATATGTCCAGAATGACTAACGGATGTTGATTGACAGTTATATGTCCAGAATGACTAACGGATGCTGATTGACAGTTATATGTCCAGAATGACTAACGGATGCTGATTGACAGTTATATGTCCAGAATGACTAACGGATGCTGATTGACAGTTATATGTCCAGAATGACTAACGGATGCTGATTGACAGTTATATGTCCAGAATGACTAACGGATGCTGATTGACAGTTATATGTCCAGAATGACTAACGGATGCTGATTGACAGTTATATGTCCAGAATGACTAACGGATGCTGATTGACAGTTATATGTCCAGAATGACTAACGGATGCTGATTGACAGTTATATGTCCAGAATGACTAACGGATGCTGATTGACAGTTATATGTCCAGAATGACTAACGGATGCTGATTGACAGTTATATGTCCAGAATGACTAACGGATGCTGATTGACAGTTATATGTCCAGAATGACTAACGGATGCTGATTGACAGTTATATGTCCAGAATGACTAACGGATGCTGATTGACAGTTATATGTCCAGAATGACTAACGGATGCTGATTGACAGTTATATGTCCAGAATGACTAACGGATGCTGATTGACAGTTATATGTCCAGAATGACTAACGGATGCTGATTGACAGTTATATGTCCAGAATGACTAACGGATGCTGATTGACAGTTATATGTCCAGAATGACTAACGGATGCTGATTGACAGTTATATGTCCAGAATGACTAACGGATGCTGATTGACAGTTATATGTCCAGAATGACTAACGGATGCTGATTGACAGTTATATGTCCAGAATGACTAACGGATGCTGATTGACAGTTATATGTCCAGAATGACTAACGGATGCTGATTGACAGTTATATGTCCAGAATGACTAACGGATGCTGATTGACAGTTATATGTCCAGAATGACTAACGGATGCTGATTGACAGTTATATGTCCAGAATGACTAACGGATGCTGATTGACAGTTATATGTCCAGAATGACTAACGGATGCTGATTGACAGTTATATGTCCAGAATGACTAACGGATGCTGATTGACAGTTATATGTCCAGAATGACTAACGGATGCTGATTGACAGTTATATGTCCAGAATGACTAACGGATGCTGATTGACAGTTATATGTCCAGAATGACTAACGGATGCTGATTGACAGTTATATGTCCAGAATGACTAACGGATGCTGATTGACAGTTATATGTCCAGAATGACTAACGGATGCTGATTGACAGTTATATGTCCAGAATGACTAACGGATGCTGATTGACAGTTATATGTCCAGAATGACTAACGGATGCTGATTGACAGTTATATGTCCAGAATGACTAACGGATGCTGATTGACCGTTATATGTCCAGAATGACTAACGGATGCTGATTGACAGTTATATGTCCAGAATGACTAACGGATGCTGATTGACCGTTATATGTCCAGAATGACTAACGGATGCTGATTGACAGTTATATGTCCAGAATGACTAACGGATGCTGATTGACCGTTATATGTCCAGAATGACTAACGGATGCTGATTGACAGTTATATGTCCAGAATGACTAACGGATGCTGATTGACAGTTATATGTCCAGAATGACTAACGGATGCTGATTGACAGTTATATGTCCAGAATGACTAACGGATGCTGATTGACAGTTATATGTCCAGAATGACTAACGGATGCTGATTGACAGTTATATGTCCAGAATGACTAACGGATGCTGATTGACAGTTATATGTCCAGAATGACTAACGGATGCTGATTGACAGTTATATGTCCAGAATGACTAACGGATGCTGATTGACAGTTATATGTCCAGAATGACTAACGGATGCTGATTGACAGTTATATGTCCAGAATGACTAACGGATGCTGATTGACAGTTATATGTCCAGAATGACTAACGGATGCTGATTGACAGTTATATGTCCAGAATGACTAACGGATGCTGATTGACAGTTATATGTCCAGAATGACTAACGGATGCTGATTGACAGTTATATGTCCAGAATGACTAACGGATGCTGATTGACAGTTATATGTCCAGAATGACTAACGGATGCTGATTGACAGTTATATGTCCAGAATGACTAACGGATGCTGATTGACAGTTATATGTCCAGAATGACTAACGGATGCTGATTGACAGTTATATGTCCAGAATGACTAACGGATGCTGATTGACAGTTATATGTCCAGAATGACTAACGGATGCTGATTGACCGTTATATGTCCAGAATGACTAACGGATGCTGAATGACCGTTATATGTCCAGAATGACTAACGAATGCTGATTGACAGTTATATGTCCAGAATGACTAACGGATGCTGATTGACCGTTATATGTCCAGAATGACTAACGGATGTTGATTGACCGTTATATGTGTTACATTACAGATGTGGTTGTTTCAAAAACCTACTATTACCTGTTTACTTTCCTGTAATATACAATTTTAGAGTATGTGTTATATTCGCTTACAGTCATCTGTTATACCGGTAACAGGTCATCTCGGCACTTGGAGTGTTTGGCACTTACGTTTTAATTTAATTTAATGTTCAAATATACGTCACGATATACTTAGAAAACTGTATTTAATGTTCATATATATACGTCACTTCCGGTGCAGCACCCGTGGGCCAGTTTCATTCTACTTGCTGGTCCTGGAACTATTCAAGCAGGCCATCGCCACTCATAGTTAGTTTTCTGTGATTGTGTATAAAGAAAGTTAAATAAAATTTCAAAAATGTCATTGACAAGCGGGTTTATAAAACCCATATTTTTGTTATGTGTTTTATTGAGAAACTGAAGACATCTAATATCAAAGTTTAACTTTATCCACAAACAATGTACGTATTAAACGTGTCGTAAAGTGTGCTTGACAAAGTGACCAGTCGGTCTTAGCTTGATGACAAAGGGACCAGTTGGTCTAAGCTTGACAAAGGGACCAGTCGGTCTTAGCTTGACAAAGGGATCAGTCGGTCTTAGTTTGATGACAAAGGGACCAGTTGGTCTTAGCTTGACAAAGGGACCAGTCGGTCTTAGCTTGACAAAGGGACCAGTCGGTGTTGAAACGCTGCGACACACTTAATGCGTTCATTGTTTGTGGTTTAAGTAAAACTATGATATTACAGAAGATATGAAGATATCTAATAAGAACTTACCTCCACCGTTTTTGTAGCATAGATAGGGGAATCTCCAGACATTTCCGAACCCGACAGAGAATCCAACACAAGCTAAGAGGAAGTCCAATCGGGAGGACCAAGTCTCCCGTTTGTGAAGTCCCTTATCTTTATCCTCGGCATCGTCCAAGAAAGATTTCCCTTCCTCTTCAAACTTATCACTGCAGTTCTCAGGTGTCTTCATGGCTGGACCTTCCCACTACAGGTACGAAGCATGAATGAACGAATGCGTTATACACACTGTAGTCATTGGGCCTAGTTAGGGGGTCGAGAGGGGATCTCAGGCGACTATAAATATATACACACACGTACGTACACTAAGCATCGGAACGTAAATCTAACCACACAAAATTACGTCTATCATACCGAGCAAATCTGTTCATTTTTTGTACAATAACGTTTATTAAAAAGACAATTAAATTTGTGTAAGTAACATAAATGATATGTTTGTCTTTATCTCATTTTTAAACCTTTATCTTGCTTTTTGTCTCTAGCGTCACTGATGAACTATTTTAATCACCACCACTATCGACAATACTGACCACACAGTTTCAGAATCAGCGTCTATTTATATCTATACAAAATCAAGTGAGTATCGAATTGTCAGCCAAACCATAAGTTGAGCCGAACGTCGACAAAAATAGGGCAACATGTGGACAAAGAAAGCATTATCATGGAGACTCCTGAAAAAGTGCAAGGATAATAAGACCATGTGCCTCCTTGGAAACCCTGTGTTATAAGTTTGTCTGTCAACAGTCGACATCTTTTAAAGAAAATATTTATTTGGACACCCTTGAAAAAGTACATGGAGTATAAAACCAGAGGTCATGGACAGATAGGAATCATCTGCTTTACATGTAAATATGTGTCATACAGAAAACACGGGTAGAGACAACTAAACCACGAGGCACTCTAATGAGCATAATAAAAAAAACACCGACCTTTAACACAAAAATTATAGAAAATCTACCAAGGAGTTCATGGTTATGCCAATAAAACTGGTTTCCATCAACCTGATTTGAAAATGTAACCGTGAGCAGTCGACATCTATCTTGATAGTCAAGATATTTGGAGCAAGATTTAAATTATGATATTTAGAGCAAGCTCTTGATTATAATATTTGGAACAAGCTCTTGATTATGATATTAAGAGTAAGCTTTTGATTATGATATTGAGAGCAAGCTCTTGATTATGATATTAAGAGCAAGCTCTTGATTATGATATTTAGAGCAAGCATCTGATTATGATATTAAGAGTAAGCTTTTGATTATGATATTTAGAGCAAGCTCTTGATAATGATATTTAGAGCAAGCTCCTGATTATGATATTTAGAGCAGGCTCCTGATTATGATATTAAGAGTAAGCTCCTGATTATGATATTAAGAGCAAGCTCTTGATTATGATATTAAGAGCAAGTTCTTGATTATGATATTTGGAGCAAGCTCTTGATTATGATATTTGGAGCAAGCTCTAGATTATGATATTTGGAGTAAGTTCTTGATTATGATATTTGGAGCAAGCTCTTGATTATCAAATAAACTGCGACATTGAAATACCGAGCTGTCATTTACAAGGATTAGTTCGGACGTTTGGTTATAGTATAGTAAATAATCTGTTAAATACATGCATATGAGTAGTGTTTTATGTTTCGCTTTTCCATACTTTACTTTCAGGACTATTTCCCTGTCATGAGATGACAGACTAATAACCCCGCCCACGTCATGTAATCGCTTGGAAAAAGCCAATCAGGTGAGAGGTGGGTGGAGCTTGTATTCAACCTTGACCTTCTTTCTTGCTTATTTATTGATCAATCGAGAGATCGTGAATGGGTTGATATGGACCTCGACAGGTTTATGAATTTTACGGTTTGGAATACTGTTTTTTCAACAAATGCCTGTGTAGTTTGTAACGGTATGATAAAACAGTTTAAGCTTGGGATATCGGTATGTGGTTCTAGTAAGTTTTTTCTGATACCCCTTGACCACATCTTTTCCCGACACAGAGGAAACTAGACTAGAGTATATCTAGCCCCGACATAAAACACTTTAGACATTCGGACAGATAGACGTACGTTAAGGGACCAGAGAGCACTCTTGAAATTTTAAAACACCACTTTTAGTGTGCTGACAAAATATCTGCCATGACGTAACGCTTTCCTCACTTTTATCCATAAATGTGGTCAGAAACCAATGTTCCTTTCCTTGCTCTTCTCCGCGATTGTTCGCGTTTCACAATTTCCAATGATCTTGTATTTTGTAGATTTGCCCAAACGTCGGGGGATATAGCTTAATTTGCTATGAGTTATTGCTGCCCTTATTACGAATGTCGTGTTTTTACCCCAGTTGTTGAGTCGTGCGAGCATAGTTACATGTCAAAAATGATCTACTGTATGTTAGAATGGTTCTACTGCTGAACAAATAAGCGTTTGAACACTGTTTAAATAAAGCGGTGACGTCCATTGCTCGCTTGTTGTAACTCGAGTTTGGCTGATTTAGTGTAGCATTTGACACAGAAAACTTAATTCACAAAAAGAAAAATATTCAAGCTAACATGGATTAAGCTTATAGGATTAAATATGCACATCCTCCGTAAACAAATGTTATGTCAAGATTGTGATTTATAATGCTAGGTTCGAGTGAATTTCAACTTATGCGTCATACGGGATTATGTAACCTACCCATTCATGTCTTCTATGTGAATGAGTCCCCGCCAGAATATCCAGATAGTGCACATATGTCGGTTATTTGGACGCTAATACAAATGTAAGGGCCGATATGGTTGTTGGGTGGCGGGGTGCTAAAAGAGGGAGAAATAGTCAAATGGTCTTTATTTAATAACGCTAACCTTGACTTGGATCTCAAAAACTTAATGTGCACTTGCATGGATTACAGTGTACCCCCATGTCCAATTTCGCAAAAAGATCAATTTCTTTTTTATTCTCAGTTAAGACACAGATATAACATCATCCTTTGTTCTCGCTGTACATAATATAGCAGAGTACCTGTAGCTGTCCATTATTGTGTTTAATAATGGACAGCTACTGGCCTTATAATTGACAGTTAGAGGTAACAAATATAATTCTAAGCACCAACACATTTTAGAAGAAAATCCACAATTTATTAACGTATGACTTTTCTATATATATGTACATAAAAATATGATTGAAATTAACAATAAAATATAATCCATTGAAACACCATATATAGTTATATTTATCCAGAAATAATCCAGCTGCTCATATCACTGTTGAATTTTATTGAGGAGAAAAGTCTTTGAGAATGAATTAATCCAACAGAATGCTGTAAAAATTACTTTACAGTAATTTACAGTAATCCAATAATTATTTTAAAATATGAATATTGATGGAATAGAAAAACACAAATCTTGATTCGGGAATACTCCAACAGATCATCAAACACAATTATCCATATTTGGAGGTAGAATTAATCCAATAGACATTTACTGAGATAATTTAACTGCCACCAGTGTTGGTTAAGGTGATATTTGAGGTTTGAAGGGATTTTCCCTCTGCTTCAGAATTTTTTCTAAAAAAAAATCATGATGCATGCAATTTAAGTGCCATTTTAGTAAACTTTCACTTTTTTCTCTGTTTCATGTGTTGTGTTAATTAATATGTCTTTACATTAAAAATCTTCCAAAATGATGTTGAAAGAGATATCGTCGTTTCCCGAGAATCACATGTTCTCTCATCAAATGACCAAGCTGATTTGACTGGTAAAATACCCAGGATTCACTATATCTGTATTTACACATCAAAAGCGTGTACATTTCCAAATATAGTAACCCTACCTTTACCTGTCCAAAAAGTTAAAAAAAAAAATGCATTCATGCATGAATGACCATAGCTCATGCTGCATACACACCAATACCTGGTCATTATGTTGAATTTATTATCGGTACATTGTTCAGTAGCTGTCCAATCTTAACACAAGAAGGTACCCACTATTAAGACAAAGGATGCTGTGTTTTAAGTAAGATTTAAGCCTCCAACTGTCCAATCTGTGAGAGGATGAATTGATCGAGGCCCATGGGGCCGAGATCTGTTTATTCTCTCACAGAATGGACAGTTTTCGGCATTAAGGTTCATGTAAAGTCTGTTTTCAACTAAGTTACAAAAGGTCCTAATTTCTTGAATTTTACATCTATATCCCTTATTTTGGTATCACTACGATCCTTAGGATATGAGTAACAGTACGTATTAGCTTTCAGTTAAGTTCAGTTCGTTAATATTGTTTTAATTGCATTAATTACACGTTATGCAGGAAATATTATATCTATACAAAACAGAGTCAATTTGCAAGGAAATATCAGTCAATATCTTCCTTAGAACTCATTTTAGGTAGTGGGATTGTAGAAAGTTAACGAAACTGCTCCAAAAGACTGACAATCACAACTTCAAAGTCAAATCATTAGTTAATTTCACCATAAAAAGTCAGCCATATTGGAACTACTTTTCTAAACCTATGGAGGCCCATGTAGTGTAATACCAAACATCATTTTTTTTTAAACCACCTTTTTAACCGAAGAATAATGCCTGGTATGTATGTTATGGATTGTTAAAAAAAAACACATTAAAAAATATTAGATCACAGTAGTTGATTTATATTGATAATTACATTAATTAGCATATTAGATACACATACAAGACATTTGAATCATCGTATAAAACAGTAAACCCAGTGTCACCTTATTATATGTCAACGGAATAGTAGGGTGGCGATAATGTGGCATATATATATAAGTTACTAGGTATATTTGTAATTTTTGAGTAAAAATAAATACCAATTCTTCATTTGAGCGGTTGGATCATGTGTCAAATTTCAATTTGATTACCGTTCATCATTATTGAAGCTTTTGGAATAATCGCATTTCTTCCAACGTAATCAAGACATTGGCATATTTACCAATTTACATATCTGTAAAACAATATTCTCTGCAAGTTTCGGCCAACTAAATCAGTCAAGTTTTACTTTCGCGATGGGCTACTCCGGTACGATTTGAGTGCTCCAGTACATCACACGAGAGTGATCAAACTTTGGAATGTTGCTTGACACGTAGTTGCAGACGTGAAAAAAAGCTTAGATGTCTTTTGCTAAGTGAGGAAGATACCACGACAACATCATCCCGTCGAATATCACCATATCATAAGTGTAGCTACCAATATTTACAAACACACAATGATGGGGTAACTGTCAGGCAACCAAGTAATCCTGCAAATAGTCAATTCTG